TAGTACAGAAAATAATTTTTTACATTTTTAATGCATATTGGCCATAGAGGCAAATATGGTCTATAGACAACTTTTTCAAATACAAACTTTTGGCTCAAGTTTTGATCTTTTCCTACTAATTAGACCCCAAGGACTTCAAAAAACACAAAAAATCAAATCCAAATCTCTAAGTTTTCAAACTAGCTATATGCAGTCTGCATATTGGTGCACATGAAGTGTTCAAAGACAAATAAATTTTTTGCGTCAAAACTTACAAAGCTACAATGCTGAAATTTTGCACCAATGTTCACATGGACTATCTGGACATGTCAGAAAAAACAGAACTCAAATATCTGCCATAGTACAGATAATAATTTTTTACATTTTTAATGCATATTGGCCATAGAGGCAAATATGGCCTATAGACAACTTTTTCAAATACAAACTTTTGGATCAAGTTTTGATCTTTTCCTACTAATTAGACCCCAAGGACTTCAAAAAACACAAGAAATCAAATCCAAATCTCTAAATTTTCAAACTAGCTATATGCAGTCTGCATATTGGTGCACATGAAGTGTTCAAAGACAAATAAATTTTTTGCGTCAAAACTTACAAAGCTACAATGCTGAAATTTTGCACCAATATTCACATGGACTATCTGGACATGTCAGAAAAAACAGAACTCAAATATCTGCCATAGTACAGAAAATAATTTTTTACATTTTTAATGCATATTGGCCATAGAGGCAAATATGGCCTATAGACAACTTTTTCAAATACAAACTTTTGGCTCAAGTTTTGATCTTTTCCTACTAATTAGACCCCAAGGACTTCAAAAAACACAAGAAATCAAATCCAAATCTCTAAATTTTCAAACTAGCTATATGCAGTCTGCATATTGGTGCACATGAAGTGTTCAAAGACAAATAAATTTTTTGCGTCAAAACTTACAAAGCTACAATGCTGAAATTTTGCACCAATATTCACATGGACTATCTGGACATGTCAGAAAAAACAGAACTCAAATATCTGCCATAGTACAGAAAATAATTTTTTACATTTTTAATGCATATTGGCCATAGAGGCAAATATGGTCTATAGACAACTTTTTCAAATACAAACTTTTGGCTCAAGTTTTGATCTTTTCCTACTAATTAGACCCCAAGGACTTCAAAAAACACAAAAAATCAAATCCAAATCTCTAAGTTTTCAAACTAGCTATATGCAGTCTGCATATTGGTGCACATGAAGTGTTCAAAGACAAATAAATTTTTTGCGTCAAAACTTACAAAGCTACAATGCTGAAATTTTGCG